GATACAATTACATATAAATTATATCCATCCCCAAGGAGCCCTGCCTTGACTCCTTACCTACCTGTAACAGCCATCAGCCCTAATTCCACAGGGAATTACCACTCTGTGCACCACCTGAGTTGTGCCAGTGAGCTGGGAGGGCATTGCCTTGAGTTAAAGTCAGTAAAATCTTGTAACTTGTCTTAAGACACACAGTGTTTCTTCTGCTAGATTTTGCTTGGACCATAGGCTCATCAGAAAAAATTAACTACAACTATGCACAAAATTAAAAGAGAAGGTCTCAGCAAGCCATGACATTTTGCTGTGCTTGGAAGAGATGCTGCAATTCTTGTGCAGCTGGAAAGTGCTGAGATGGTTTTAATGGCATCTGCTGTCTCTTGATTGACAGAGCATAAACATTTCAGAAATACAGGCAACAGCACTGCAGCCACACAGCACCAGACAACATTATTTACTGACTGCGACCGAGCTCCCGCTATCAGTCACAAACTGCACATCCAGCTCAGGGTTATTGTGATTTCATTTGAGAAATGTCCTCTTCTGGATGAAGAAGTATTAGCAGCTTCACAAACACTGTCAGCTAATCAAAAAATATTAGAGAAGCTCTCCACAGCTTAGTGGTTTTTTGTCACTTGCTCTAGATGTTAGGAATATGGGGAAATGAATAAATGTATTAATACACAGCAGCCTGTCAGGAGCCCTTGGCACGCTGTGAGCCCGTGGACTGCATTTGCCAGTCAAATCTGCCTGATACTCTCAGCAGTCCCTGACAGCAACCCATTCACATGGGAATCAACAAGAAGAATGCTTTTAAATGGTAATATCTGGCATTACCACAGAATCACAGAATCAGCTGAGCTGGAAAAGACACACAAAGATAATGAAGTCCAACTCCCACCCCTGCACAGGACACCCCAGTTATCACATCCTGTGCCCAAAAGCGTTGTCCAAATGCTTCTTGAGCTCTGTCAGGCTGGTGCTGTGACCACTTCCCTGGGGAGCCTGCTCAGTGCCCAACCATGCTCTGGGTGATAAACCTTTTCCTGATATCCAACCTAAACCTGCCCTGACACCACTTCAGGCCATTTCCTCAGATCCTGTCACTGTCACCACAGAGCAGAGATCAGTGTCTGCCTCTCCTCATCCTTTCAGAAGCAGGTTGTGGACTTTGAATTTCTACCTTAGCCATAAGCGGTATTTCATTTACAGGCCTGGCACAAATGTGATGTTTATTTACCCCACATTTATGTTCCGCAATCTGAGCAATACCCTGACTCTTCTTACAAAAAGCACTGCCTCTGCTTGCTAATTACATCCTGCTAAGTTCTGCTTGCTGCTACCCGGGCAGCTGGAACGTGCCTTTCTGGATTCAGAAAGACATACATGTATTTTTGGCCATAAACCGACTGCTGGATTACAGGCTGGTTGGGAAGGGGGGCCAGGGTAGGAGCAGGAGGGGACAGAAAGGAGAAGGAAGGAAAGGGGAGAAAAGCACTGGTGAAAACAAAGGAAAACAGGAAATAAGTGAAAAAATATGAGGATTCTTTCTGTCAATTTCTTCTTTTCCTTTCTTCTGAGGTTCTCTCATGCTTCTCTACCACCCCTATTGACTGATTGCTTCCTGCCTTCTCCCATTTTTCTCTTTTCTAATTCCTTTACACTGAATTTTTTTCCTCTACTAACATACTCCCAAAACCAATGCCAATGCCAGAGCCTGCCTCCAGCAAGGCAGGAGCTGTGGGCAGTGGGGTGATACCCCTGCCAGCTGGAAGCCTCTCACAGAGAGCTGCACTGCAGTGCAGTGCTGCCTTCCCTTTATACACTAGGGAAAGCCAGGCAAAGGTGGATGCTCCTGTGGAAATTATTTGTGGATATCAAAAGGGAAGAGTTTGGCATCAAAACAAAGAAAAGCAACAACATGCCAGTAAATTGTTTCGTATAAAAATGAACAAATCTCTCCCATAGAAAAAGGGATGCATGTTGAAATGGAAATCTTTGTGCTTTGGTGTCTCAAACAGAGCAGCTGGGTGGTGAGAATTTAGGAAGCATTTTTAAAGCAAAAAAATGTGGTTCTGGAAAAAGAAAAACAATATCCAATATACTTCTGTTGACATTGATATCACAAATCAACAACATGCAACTGTAGACCAGGGAAGAAGACAAATTCAATAAGAAACAGCCTCCTAGAATGTGCAGTATCTCAGCCTTTGCTCTCATCTGCTTCCTTCTGGCACTCGAGGCTTGTGACACTGTCTAGCACCAGTGCATGTCAAGCACTGCAGTTCTGCCTTGAGAGGAACATTTTTTGGCATGAAGCACAGCTCACATCCTGCTCACAGTCACACCTGTGTGAAAACAAGGTGCTGGATTTATTCCAGCAAGAGGTAAGGATACAAGAAAGCCATTTTAAAGATACAATTGATTCAGAAAAGGCCAAGATCTCATCACAGAAATCAAAACAGTGTACACTAAATGATATATGGATATGTACTTCACCTTCTGATGTGTTCCCAAAGATACCTCACTTTGCTGCAAGCTGTATCAATGCATAAAGTCAGAGCACTTAAAAAGTATAACAGCCTTAAGACTGATTCATGAGATCAATCAAAAGCTTATCCATTTTAGGACAAATTGCAAATCATAAAATCTAATCTAAAAAGTTGTATATTCTGTGATCCTTGAGTAATGCCTGATTCGCAAAACTAAATTTTTCAGCACTTTTTCAACTATTTAATACACTTTCTTGCAGGTTTTGTTGCATTACAGTATTTTCGTTGCTTTTGATCTTCAGTGGCAATGTAAGATATATATATATATATATATATATATGTAAAAAAATATATATCTTTACATGGACACCACCACGAAATTTTCTTTGGACAGTAACTTTTTTGCAGTTATTCTGCTGGTTCCTATTAAATTCACATGAACATACATATTTAGTATTTTGTTATCATTGCATCTTTTTAGTGTTAATTGTTCAACAAGAACAAATCACATTTAGCCTAACTTTGCCTTTTGCTATTCCTACAAGAACTATGGGAAAAATTATCTTTAATTGTCTGTGAAGCATCACATACCTTTACAACAGTCAGCAAGTAACAAACCAAATTTTGAGGTTCCTCCAAAGCTCAAAATATTTTCTTTAAGTTCCACATCACTATATTGATGCACAGCAGTCCTTAGAGATACATCTTTACAATGTATAGGTTGATCCTGTTTTCTTGTTTCTCCATCTCAGAAAGAGGTTAGAGTTCTGTGCCTCAACAAATTTAAGTGCACCTCAGTTACTTACTTAATGCATTTTGCAATAGAAAATCTGGCAGATATGTGAAAAATCAAGTTTCTGCAGTGGCCAAAATCGTCATTTTCTGGCATCTTAGTTATGAAGTCAGTTCCTATGGAGCTTGATCTTCTTGAATAGAAGTTCAGTACAGGCTTCTATATTTGACCCAATAATATTTAAAAAAATAAAATAGTCAAACCTCTCTTCAAGACAAATATTGACATCACAGTGTCTTTGATTCTCTGTTGCCCAGCATCTGATTTAGTCACTAGACAAATGAAAGAAAATGAGTGTTCAGAAACACCATGGACTATATGATTCACATGACACTCTAAGATCCTTGAGCTTCTCCATCATTGCTTGAAACAGAGCAGTGCTAGCTGGCTGCTTAAGAAATCCCTGGAGAGGAGGGGAATGCACAGAGCTGCAGGACTCTGCCCAGCAATGAGCACTGCTCCAGCACATGGCACACATCAGGAAAGCTGCCACCACCAGCAGATGAGCTTCAGAAAATTGAGCTGAAATAGCTCCAATACAGATACCCAGGTGCAATTCCCACCCTACATCCCTGATGGGCAACACATGGCAGAGAAGAGGATGTCCCCCATCTCCACTGCTCGGCACTTGAGCCCTGGACAGAGACCCAGCACAGCGGCCAAGCTGCTGCTCCCATTGCTCCCACCACTGAGGCAGCAGCCCCCAGCAAGGGGCAGCTGGGCTGGCACTGGGGGGCAGTGACTTCCAAAGACCACCAGAGATGTTTCCTTCAGTGCCCACAAAGCAAAGTCCCTGGGGAAGCCACTGAGGTGGCCTTAACCACAGCAGGATCCCCTCCAGGCACCAGAATTGCTCAGGGTCACACCAGCAGGAGAGGTGGCTAAATGGAACAAAAAGCTCCTATCCTGATCACACTTCATCCTGGGACTTATGACTAAAAACCTTTAGGACCTGATAGAGCTTGGCCATGTCTGGATCCTAGGAAAAATACAAGCACAATGGGAATAATTTATTTTAACAAACTAAAAATGTATTGTGCTTTTGGAAAGAAATTAATAAATATTATGCTTCCATGGAGTAAAAACAATATGTACCAATATATTTTCTGCCCCAACTTAGGAAATGGGTTCCCAACTCTAAAATTACACAAGTTTGTTAGTGAACACAGTTTTACATGTACACAATTCCTTCATTTATCTAATGTATTTGCAGGTGAAAACTTTACTAACTTGTGCAATAGTTCTTACACACTTTTAATACATCTCTACCTGAAGAGAAGCAAATTATAAAAGCAAATTCTGTGCAAGATATGAGACTGCTGCAGGGGAAAAAAACAACGAACAAACCAAACAACAATACCCACAAAACAAAACAAAAAAAAAAAAAAAAAAAAACCAAAAAACAAACAAACAAAAAAAAACCAACAACAACAAAAAAAAAACCACTTATCTCACATGTAAAACTTTTTTTCCTAGCTTTTTGTCCCCAAAATGCATAACACTAGTTGTGTAAAAACTAAACCACTATATGAGGCATATTTTAAAACCTCATATAAACAATGAAGCTTTTATGGCATCCTCAGAGCAAAGAATGTCCAAATATGGCTGAGAGTTAAGTACCCTGAGAATCAACTGCTCTTAATGAATTAACTGAAGTTTGTCAGTCCACATTTACCAAGAATCAGAAGAGAAATAAAGAGAAGCAAACGTGATTCCACTCATTTTCCTGTACCATTCTCTAAAGATACTGTGTTATAAACATCCTCCATATCTTGGATACTGGAGGCATCTGTTGACTCTTGGTCACTGACTACAATTCCTACTGAAGAAAGGCTAGAAATGAAGGAGTGCATCTTTTTTGCATAAATATCCCTAATGTTAAAATAAGGTAGGTCATTGCTTTTCTCTTTGCGATCATTGTTGCACTGGTCTCTATCAATAGCTTTTTGCTTTTGGTAGTACTTAGAAAACTTATTGAAAATAATGGTGATTGGAAGCGCTACCACCAGAATCCCACAGATAATGCAGAGGGTGCCGAGCAGCTTTCCAGCAAGTGTGACCGGGTAAGTGTCCCCATAACCAACAGTGGTCATGCTGATGGTTGCCCACCACCAGCAAATAGGGATGCTCTGCAGTTCTGACGAGTCATCATCCTTCTCCACTGAGTAGACAAGCACTGAAAAAATAGAAATCCCAACTGACAGAAACAAAAGCAGAAGTCCAACTTCTTGGTAGCTGTGTCTCAGAGTGGCACCCAAAGACCGCAGTCCTACAGAGTGCCTGGCCAGTTTCAGGATGCGAAATATCCTCATTAACCGCAGGATCTGAACCACCTTCCCCATGTTCTCAATATCTTCACTCTCTTCTTCCTTCGTGTCCACAGCCAGTGTGGCATAAAATGGGATAATAGAGACAAAATCAATGATGTTCAGTGGTTTCTTCCAGAACTTCTTCTGACTTGGAGCAGTGAAGAGCCGGATCACTAGCTCAGCAGTAAACCAGATGATGCATGTAATCTCCACAGCTTCCAGCACAGGGTCTCCAATCTCCCTGTCATTGGCATCCAGCCTTTGAAATTCTGGCATGCTATGAACGCACATGGCCGCAATTGATGCCAGAACAACACTCAGGGATGACACGGCAATTAACTTGGCAGACAAGCAGTATGCAGGATTTTCCATCCTGACCCAGATCTTCTTTCTTATTTCACCAAAACAAAGATTATCAAACTTTTCTAGCTCTTTGTCAAATATGGATGACTCTTCATTGGAGGAGTCCATACTGTCGTTGCTCTTCTGATCCCAATCTTTTTCAGGACCTTCCTCTTTCCGTTCTTGGTACCGATTGCTGCAGCAGGAATCAATAAACAGCTCATTTATCCCCCAGTACTCTATTTCCTGGCAGAAGGAAAAGACACAAAGTTCTTCCATGACGTGAAGTTTGCCTGTATAGTAGAAGTTCAGAACATATCGGAACAAGGAAGGATTCCTGTCAAAGTAATATTCCTTGTCTGTCACACTATAATCATCACACAGTTCTAGAATAGCCTCTTCTGAATGGCATTTGAGAAGTCTTCCAAGTCTGGTATGGGGAAATCGGAGCAAGGTACTTTGATCAACTGATTGCTTAAAGCCACCCACATTCAAATTGATAAGTTCTGCATCTTTGCCAGGTCTGCGGAAAAATTCACCATAAACCATTTTGGACAGACGAGTTCCACTGCTGCTGCCCAATGAGATTACATAGAACCTGAAAAGAACATAAGATATTGTTAGAACATTTAATTCAGTTTTGCTCTTGTGACACGTTCTTTTCTCCATCTCTGGGTACTGTGAAATGCTGTAACAAAACAAACAAAAAAAGAAATCATTTTATGAATACCCTTATTCAGCATTTCACAGGTGTAGTTTTAAATTAGGTTGGTTTACAGCTCTAGCAAGTTTGAAAGCAGTAGGTTCTGGTTTAGGTCTCCTTTTTACCAGTGTAAAGGAAGACTGCAAATTCATCTGCAAATCAGTCTCTGTTTCACTACCACACTGAAATTAATAGTCACGAAATCCATGTACTTCAGTTATGCCAAAAATCTTTAAAGAGAAAACTTATCAATCAATCAAAACATTTAGGATAAAACTTTCAAGCAGGTTTCTCTCAATTACAGTTTCAGCTGAGTTGTATTCATTTATATGATGTTGCAATTTATAATCCATTAATTCCAATGTTATTTGCTTGAATGTGGACTGCAACTACTTTTGCTGACAGTTCATTTACTTCTAGCGTAATCCACACATCAGCATTCTGTGCTCTTGAAAACATATCACAACTTCTTTTGAAGATTTTCAATTTCTGACTTCTGAATGCTGTAGTACATATTTGGGTATCTGCATTCCCTCAGGTATTTTTCTATCTGCCTTCCTACTCACCTGAAGTGTCACAACCCTCTTACAACCTTGGTCAGTTCCAGAAGCAATTCCTGTTCTGCCACAGCCTAGCTACAACCACTACAGCAATACTGAGAAGTTGGAAACGTCATCTCTGTAAAAAGGAGCTTTCAGAATGGAACTTCCACAGTAATTCTTCCTCAACAACTAACTGTGGACACCTGCAGATGGACAGAAGGGCATTTAAATGTTTCTGTATTTTACTATAAATTCAGCTAAAACTGAATTCAAAAGACAGTTAAAGTTACCAGTAAGTAAGTTAACTTTTACAGAACTGCTTTCTTGCTTTCCTTCCAAGAAGAAGCTGTTGTAAAGCCAAAACTGGCAGTTCTTACACTTGCCATCAGATTATATGTAACTTAAGATCATGAGGAGAGCAAATGTTTTTGATCTCTGACACTTAAACACTAATTGATGCACACTAAGCTAATTTATTTCAATTTAATATGGAAATCAATTCATTTTAAATGTGACAAGATAGTATCAAAATTCTCCTGTCCTAAGAGAAGACATCTTATGGTGTCATGTTCAGCATGTAGAGCTGGGGGAAGAAGAGGGAAAGAGAGTTGACACTCAGAGTGATGGTGTTTGTCTCCCCAAGTCACCATTAAATGGGATGGAGCCCTGCCTTCCTGGGGATGGCTGGACACCTGCCTGCCCATGGGAAGGGGTCAATGAATCCTTGTTTTGCTTCACTTTTGCTTTACCTATTAAACGCTTTTTAATCTCAACCCACAAATTTTGCCATTTTACCTCTCTGGTTCCCTGCCCCATCCCACAGGAGTGGGTGAGCGTGGGGTTGAACTGCCAGTTGAGATTAAATCATGACAACACAGAAATTATTTTGCACCTTTAGATTCAGTTTGAAGGCAAAGATTTGCTAGCTAATAGAGTGGTTGTAAGGCACATTTGCTCCAGGCATTTTCCAAGGCTTCAGTTTTTAGGAATCATTAGGAGGTCAAATAAGACCGTTGATCTCTCCTCACAGAAGAAGGGCAGCAAGACTCATCTGATAAACATCACCACACTTCACTCATGATCTACAGCCAAGCTCTGTTTTATAGCACTATAAATAATAAAAAAAAGCCATAAATCTGGACTGGGGTGACTGGAAGTCAAAGTATTTCAGACCCAAGAAAGCTCTAGTTATTGATTCATTTTAGTCAATAAAATCTCCACTTCTAGCAACTCATTAACATGAGAACCCTGGCAGTGTAAGTGAGCACTATAAAAACCAGGCAAGATCTCAGATCATAGAGTCATAGACCAATAGAACGGTGAAGGTCAGAAGGGACCTTAAAGATCATCTCATTCCCTCTCACAGGCCAGGAACACCTTCCACTAGATCAGATTGCTCAGAGGTCCATCCAACCCAACCTTGAACAATTCTGGATGAAGTAGGATGAAACATCAACAGCTTCTCTGGGCAACCTGTGCCAGTGTCTCACCAACCTCACAGTAAAGAACTCCTTCCTAATACCCAATCTAAATCTACCCACCTTCACCTTAAAGCCATTATCTTCCTGTCTGGGGGCACTTCTGATCATGACAAATAATGACAAATACAAAGCAAGTTTTACTCAGAAGAAACTAAAGCAAGAACTTAGTGCCCAGCAAATTCTTAGTACACTACAAGTACACTGGTTGAGACTGAAATATAAAACCATATCAATGATGCAGATTATATTCATAATTGTGCCTCCATGAAATTGCTCTGTATAATAAATTCAGTGGGCAATATTTTACTGCTTTATTTTGAGGGTACTGTAGTCATAATTTGTGCAAGATACAGAGAGAAAGTGGAACTTGCTTAGGAAGACCATGGTCTAGAACCTGCTTAATGTGTTACTACTATGAAGTGATTTTTAGACTACGGAAAGAACATACAGGAAAGATTCACAATAACTGTGTCAAGAGGAGCTTGATCATCTGAAGAATGTCTTCTTTTACTTGCAGAGACCCTGACTCCTGAGCCATGGACCAGGACATAGTAACTGGCAGAACAATCAGAACAATTTGTGTCACTTTAAGAAGTGACTCAAGCCACAGGGCAATGACCACAGATGACAACTTCTGTCTCAGCACAACGTGCTCTCTACTCAAGGAAACCCTTCACTCACTCAGGAAACTTTTTTCCTCAAGGGTAAAACTGTGCTCAGCTGGAAATGGTATTTTCCTGGAGTGCCAAGGCCTGTGTCATGAACATCCTAAGAGCATAGAACTACCACGAACTTTGCAAATCTCAACTTGAAGGGCAACATTAACCTCTCTGACATTCTTCAAATATAGATAACATAATAAACTGGAAACCATTCCAAATCACACAATTCTTGCCCCGGAGAGAGTATAACAGAGCAAATAAACACATACCAGATGTTAGTTACTTGTTTGCTTTAATTGCTTCAGCTGTTCCAAGGTGCTACTAGCTAAGAATTCATATAGAATAGAAAATGAAACAAGACACAGAAGAAAGATGGTAACTGGAAGAATGAATATTATTTTCCAAGATAATGAAAAAAAACCCCAACAAATAGAAGTTCCAAGTGTTAAGCTTCAGGGCTAAATAAAAGCCAGTCATTAGGAAAGCTGTGTGAAAAGGATACAAAATTTGGAATAAAAACCAGAATGACAGGATCTTCCCAGTCCAATTTGGAGATGGGCTCTAGCCAGTGCTTCTGCAGTCATACATTGTTGGTGAGGCCACAGGCCCATTGTCTTGGAAGGGGAGTTGCAAATTTCTGGGCTTTTAGCACGCTGTGAAATCCCTAAAGCTCTCAAAAGAGGAGTCACGGAGACAGTTTGCAGATACAGTCCCTTTGAGACAGCTATGCCACAGATGTGTAACACATCCCAAAGTGCTGTGGTTTCCAACCTCCTCTGGAACAAACCACTAAGAGATTTTTACTGACCACATGGATCCCCATACTACACATTTATTTGTCAGCAAAGTTCCTCTTTCTCAGTTATGTTTTGCATAGTATCTGCACAAAGTCTCCATTCTCTGTGAGGTCGTACACCACAAGCTTCAGAACATTTTTTTTGAGCATGGTACCACTCTGGTACCATGAATTTTTGAGCATGGTACCACTTTGGTACCACTGGTAACTCCAAATTGGGGCAGTTTCATCTTTTGCAAGCATTAATCTGTGTTTATCCAGGCACAATAGAAAGGAAGTTGAACTGGTTTACAATGGTTGTGCTTGGCTACTTAAAATACTCAAAGAGAGCTCATGCCTACAGATTTTCTACCAGTTTCTTTCAAGGCTATGTTGTCTTAGCCTCACCTCCTCCTTCCTGCACAGCTACACTCCATAAACCTCTCAAGATTAAGTTCACATTTTAGCATGGTTTCCTCTAAGTTGAAGGAACATTAATTAAAGGGCCTAGTCCTGCTCACAGTAAAGTCACAAGGGACGTAACACTGATGTGAACCTGAAAGGGCATGCAAATCCTGGTAACTCTACAGAGTATTTCCAGAGCTCAAAGACATTTTTTCCCCAAGGAATCTGATGATCTTGGCAGATTTCCATTTTAGGGTTCCAAACTCAGGAGATTCAGCTGTGAGTAAATTCCCTCTAAAGAATCTTACTTTGACACTCAGCCATGCCCAGGAAGCAGATTTTGTTTCCTAATGATGCAGACAAGCACCTGGGCTGTTACTGCTGCTAATTTCCCGAGAATTGAGAGCTTCTACCAATCATCCAAGCTACACACGTGCAGGTTTTGACACCAAGTACTTCTAAAATGCTGTGGATTACAAACCAAAACAACTTCTGCTCAGGATCAACATTTCACTGATTTTTTAAGTGTTTGAATTTCTCACTCATCATAGGGCAAATACTTGTCTAATGCACCACCTAGAAGTACTGTCTACATTTTCTGACTCACTGAGCAGAGAAAAACACTAAAAGCATGTAAAATTTACTTGATCAATCACAATTAGGGATTGGGACTGAAATCCAGTCAGCATGACTTAAGTTGTTGTCTGTCAGCTGGACAGTAGTAACTGCTTTAGCACACTTAATTAAGCCTGGAAAAAAAGCCTCTGGAAAAAAGCACAGCCTCTTTCACTATGATATAAGCTGCAACATTCAACTCATTGTAATACTTGACACAGTTAATTGTAAAGTCATTCACAGACTATGGAGGTGGAGGTTAACTTTAAAAAGTCATCTAGCACAAATAGCAAGACCATCTGAAGAAACCACTCTGTGGTTATGGACACTCTGTGAGGCAAAGAGGATAAATTAATCAGCTAAATT